TGTTAAATTATATTTAGTTAGTATCAGGTTAGGTCAAGCCAATGTTAAATTATGTTAAGTTAGTATCAGGTTAGGTCAAGTCAATGTTAAATTATGTTAGTTAGTATCAGGTTATATCAAGCCAATGTTAAATTATATTTAGTTAGTATCAGGTTTGTCAAGCCAATGTTAAATTATGTTAAGTTAGTATCAGGTTAGGTCAAGTCAATGTTAAATTAAATCAAAAGCTAGTGTATGTTTAGACAAAGTTACGATAAATTATAATACAGTCTACTCTTAAGTGTTAATTTAGTACCATTTTCCTGTTAAGTTAGTATTAAGTTAATGTTAAAATAAATTGCTCTATTATTTCCTCCACATCAAAATATAACATTATTAAGGAAACGTGACTTTTCTTAAGTTTTCTCTACCTCTCGAATGGTTCATAAACAAGATAAACCTCAAGATAATTATAAGTAAATTAATTTTCAGCAAGATAAAGATGACACGATAATTATTACACTCAAATAATCCAGACAAAATAATTACACCCAAATAATCCAAGTCAAAATATAACCTGTGGAGTGACCTGTCCTAGGATGAAGAGATGGGAAGTCAGGTCAATTTCATTCCTTCTTGACCTGACTAATGGTGATTCTTCGTGTGTGGGATTTTTTATTTATTTTTTTCCAAGGGAGATTTAATGTAGGTAATGACTTAATCTTATTACCTTTGATTTTGTTTTCATTTACGTAAAAACTGTATTGTGGGGAAGTAAATTAAAATAGGCCTATTGTAACTTAACATCAGATCGATTAGGTTAGCTTAGGATAGGTTAGGTTAATGTTGGGTTGAGTTAGATTAATGTTTGGTTAATTTAGGTTAGGTTAATGTGGGTTAGGTTAGGTTAAGTTTAGGTTAGGTTAGGTCAAGTTTATGTTAGGTTAGGTTAATGTGGGATAATTAGGTTAAGTTTGTTACGTTAGATTAGATTAGATTAATGTTAGGTTAGGTTTTTAAGTTAGGCTTACGATAGGTGAGTGTGACATAATTCATAAGATAATCGGAATGATAAGATATGACAGAATGATTTAAGTACACCATTTACGGGCAAATAATCGATGCTGAAAAACCGATAACTGTAGCAAGATTATTCTAGTTGGATAATCGGTTTGGTGAATGAGACCTAAATAATTGGCTGCATTACTAAGGCCTAGATACACGAAATGATAATTATACAAGAACAAAATTATCGGCACTATAACTAAGGACAATATAAATCACACCACCAAATTATTCCAGTCAATATAATCCAAACAAGATTATAAAAATTTTCAGGCTCAACAGATATGATAATTTAGGGCATGATAATCGACACACACACACACACACACACACACACACACACACACACACACACACACACACACACACACACCAAATCAGGATTATCGGGCAAATAATTCTAGGCAGGGGAACTGACACAGAAAACGTGAAGGCAAAATAATCGGTAAAATAATTCAGACAGAAACTCGTCGGGACACAAAATAATCGAGGCAGGATAATTTCAGCTGAATTACTAACGGGAGAATAATTCGGTATGATAATCACGGCAGGAAACTACCTTGGGCATCAGGCTGTTGATAGAAACCTTGTAATTAGTGTGTGTGTGTGTGTGTGTGTGTGTAAGTGTGTGTGTGTGTGTGTGTGTGTGTGTGTGTGTGTGTGTGTGTGTGTGTGTGTGTGTGTGTGTGTGTTTTGTCTGTGTGTCAGTTTGTATCTCTCTCTCTCTCTCTCTCTCTCTCTCTCTCTCTCTCTCTCTCTCTCTCTCTCCTCCACCTCGTCCTCCTCTCTAATATAAAACATGCGCCTCTTTTAACATTAATCAGGCATGATTGTTAGCGTTGGCGGCGGCATAACTGGCCGAATTGCAGGTAATTACACTTTCCATCAACCTTAATCAGCATAATTAATCTTCGGTGATTATAGCAGAGTCCGGCAGGAGGCAGAAATTGCACTCGCCTGATGGCCTCCGAATTCCCAACTTAACTAGGCTTATTATATTTGATTATTTCACAATTGTACTTGTAAATCCTCGATGTATAATTATATTACGGTCTACCCCCTCTCCTTCCCTTCCATACACACTCACCCACTCCACCCCTTCTTCACGCCCCCACTCTTCCCCTCCCCCACCTCCTTCCCCTTTCCCAAACATCCCCACTCCCTGTCTCCACTCCTTTCACATCTCACACCCATCCACATCCCTGACTCCACCACCACCTCCCTCCCTACACAACCCCCCACTCCGCCACACCCCCTTCATACCCCCCCCCACCCCTCCTGACCCTCATTCCTTTATGATGGGAGGAATTATGGAGCGTTTAGTGTGTAATTTAGTGAGGCACTCCGGATGACATAGTTACCCCTGTTGTTCTCTGTTGTGGGTTGTGTCTCCGTTTTCTATTTCTAGGTGGATGTGTCTTTGGTTGTCTGTCGGTAATTCTTGGCCAAATAGTTTCCTAATCTTAATAGAGAGTAATCCTATTCGGCCAATAGTCCTATTAGGTCCATTCCTATTAGGCCTAAGTCCTATCCTAACCCCTAGCTTACTATAATACAGTACTCACATTTGGTTAAAAAAAAACACAAAATAAGCTTTTCTTGATTCTATCTCAGCTTGGATGCGATACCTGAACAGCTTCCCATAAAAAGTACAGCTCGTTCATATATATATATCCACGAAAAATAAGCTTAATTTATCCAATATTCACCTAAAAATAAACTTAATTTATCCACTATCCACCTAAAAATAAGCTTTACTTCCTTTCCATCCACAAAAACAAGCTCTATTAATTTATTTCCGCCTGGGTGCCAAGAAAAAATATAAATCCACCACAAATATCCACAAAAAGCTTTATTTATCCTATACCCACACAAAAATAAGCATCATTTAATCAATATCCACAAAAATAAACTTAATTTATCCCTCATCCACAAAAATCAACTTTATCCAACCTAAACTTACAGACGTCACTCCATATACAAAACTTGAATTATTCTAAATCCACAAAAAAGACAACTTGATTGATCCTCTATCCACATATCAAGCTTTAATATAATCTACCTCAGCTTGGATACGATAAGTGACATCAGACTTACGTGGCTAAAGCGGCGGGGTTAACTGGTAAATGTTTGAGAGTGGGAGAGGTGGGAGTGGGCGGGTTGCTGCTTTCATGTAGAGGAAAGGAGAGAGAAAAAAAGGGAGACAACATTACCGGCGCCAGTAATGTGATTTTCATGTACCGAGAGAGAGAGAGAGAGAGAGAGAGAGAGAGAGAGAGAGAGAGAGAGAGAGAGAGAGAGAGAGAGAGAGAGAGAGAGAGAGAGAGAGAGAGAGAGAGAGAGAGAGAGAGAGAGAGAGAGAGTTAGTTACAGAATATAACCACACAAAATTGGCCTTATAGTTAGCAGTCATCAAGAGGAAAATTGACCGCAAATTTGACTTTATTTAACAGTCTACCACGGAATTCGAATCCAAAATGACAGAGGTTAACAGTCAAGGATAAAACTCGACCTCAGTTAACAGTCTATTAATGTAAACGATCCTAATATTGACAGTCAAATGGCAAATCGATCCAAAAATTGACCCCAGTTTACAGTCTGTCACAATCTCAGTTAACAGTACGACGGAAAAAACCTCAGTTAACAGTCAACCCCTAAAAGAATATCAGTTAACAGTCAACCCACCAAAACACAACCGCAGTTAACAATCAATGCCTCCTCAAAAAAACCCATACAGTTAACAGTCAAACACAAAACACGACCTTGAAACGGAGCACAGTTAACAGTTTGTCACCGTGAATGACCCCCAGGCTCATTTGCATACTGGTAATCTGTACAATCTCTGCTCTGCCATTACCAGTTAAATTATTCTCCTGTAATCTGGTTTTGGGTTACAGTCTATGCCATCAGCCAGGTTAGGTTAGGTCAGGTAAGGTCAGGTCAGGTCAGGTCAGGTCAGGTCAGGTCAGGTTGGGTTGGGTTAGAGTCTAATAAAATTAAACAAATGAAGGAAAATAAAAGTAAACAAATGAAGGAAAATAAAATAAACAAATGAAGGAAAAAAATAAAAAAATAAAAAATAAAATAAAATAAAAATAACTAATAATAAAAATACACCAAATATTTTAGCTCTAATGTGAAGGGGGATTAAAGGTCAAATCCAAATACAATTAGGAGCAAAAACATCATTAAACCTGAAATGTATTTTTTTTTAATTAATCACTGTCCAGTTACCTATTTATAGCAATAAAATTCACTCCTTAAAAAATTAAATTCACGAATGGTACATGAAAGTGATTAATATACATTCATCGCTCTATTAAAAGTATAAGTGAATGACTAATATACATCTATGGCTCTATTACGGCTCTATAAGTGAAAGTGAATAAAATACATCTCTGGCTCTATTAAAAGTATTGTAAAAGTGAATGAATAATATACACCTCTGACTATGATAAAAGTATAGTATGTAAAAGTGAATAATTTCTGTACGGCTCTGATAAAACCCACAATGGACCAGGAAAAACGTGCATTTTACATCTACGGTTTAATTGCGCGGTTCAGTCAATCTGCATGAATTAATGTACAATTTCCGACCCCCCCCCCCCGTCAATGGTAGGGTGAATACAGATTTACACAACGTTATGAAATGGAGTAGGTGTGTGTGTGTGTGTGTGTGTGTGTGTGCATTTTAAAAGAGTTTGAATATCTGACACAGCAGTTTGGCAACACTTCATTTTTAACAATGGTCACATATATCCCGGTAATGATCACTTAAATACGCTTGTTAAATAAACTATTCCACCACTAGTATTACATAACGAGAGAGAGAGAGAGAGAGAGAGAGAGAGAGAGAGAGAGAGAGAGAGAGAGAGAGAGAGATCATGACACTTTGATTCCTTGATGTGTTAAGTTATACTAACGAAGGTTTTTATTTTTTTCTCACCCACAGGCGGAGTTATCAGAGTCACTACAGCAGCTGTCAGGCCGAGCCAAGTCCGCCCACACCCACATCACCAACCTCAAGACTTTTCAGGATAGAGTCAATGTAAGTAAACAATGCAGACATCAGTTAAGATATAGTCGGTGTTTACATTTGTTTTTCGTGTTTAAGAAGGCAAGTTTTCCATAACTGTGCTTGTTATAATAGGTGTTTTGGAGAGGTTATCCATAATTATCCTCTCTATTATTTCATTATTAGTATCTACAGGAGATAATTGATCCATCCATAAGTATACTGCAGTTCACAGTAGTTAAAAACACCAACTTGTAATCACTTTAAGGTGTTCCCCGGTGGCGAGGACCCTGTTATAATGCCAAGAGTATGGGATACCCTTATGTGGAGAATACCTGAAGGAACCGTATGTAAGGGCTTGTTCTCCAGGGAGCGGTGGCCATACACAAGGAGGCCTGTACGGTTGAGTTGGTCCGCGGTATAAGAGACTGTTTCAAAGGGTAAGGACCCCACTTGAGACCCCACAAGGAGGGGAGGGACGGACATGAGCATCTGAGGTGGGTCAATATAGAAGCTGAGGGCTCACTTTGCTGTAAATGACCTTCGTTTCTTATTTGTTGACCTCTGAAGTAGCACCGACTAAGGTCAAACTGCTTCGGTTGAGTTTCCGGGTAAATATTTTTATTTTGTGATCAATATGGGTGACTGTAAGGCCAGATGGGGTGTGTTCTTGAGGTGATGATGATCGATCAAATCCTTCAACTAAAAACATTGGCTTCCATCCTGACGTAGGTAAATCCCTTCTGCCAGAGACTGAAGGTGTGTGTCTGTCTGTTATCTGTTATACGAGTATTATAATTCCTCTCACCTCGTCACCTCAGCCGGGAGAGGATAAAACAGACTGACTAAACAACAGTAACAACTATTAAAGATGACAATATTTAAGGCGAATCAACAAAAACTAAGTTTCTCTCTCGCTGTCAGGAACCCGAACTCCTCCGGTACTGATTGAATTCCTGAAGAGTTTGGACACAGGAGTCGGACACTTCAGGAGGGAGATCATTAAGGATTCAGACAGTGGATGATCACAGTGTTTTGTCAGTCTTACAGCTCCTCAGTTATATATGTTACATAATATATAACTTCAACCCACAGGGAGATATAGCAGTATACTTATTCTCTCACTTCCCTAAGCTTCCCACCGCCAAGTATATCAACATACCAAGTATATCTGTATAATTTTCCCACTCCTTGAAGGTCTTTTGACAGACTCTTGATATATTGACAGGTATAATCAGTTTAGCTTACTGATATATTACACTACCTCGGGGTTTTATTTCACCCTGGTAGACACACGTACATCAATATACTAAACCTGACAATTCTCCACACACTCTATTAACGTACACAGTTATATCACTACATTAATGATGCTCCCCGCCACCCTAAATATATCAACATACCCGTGCTATCCACCCCTTTAACCTCCCTAACATACTCTTAATAAAGGCAATCATATCAGCATACTAATGTCTCCACCTCTTCAACCTCCTTACTATTAAGTATATCACAGTATATCACTATGGTAGTTTCTTGTGCATTTAAAACCTCAGATGGACAGGTATAACATCATACTAATATAGACATCTTATTTACTTTATCATACTCTCAATGTATAGTTAACACAATCAGTTCCTCTATCCCTTGAACTTTATTATAATACTCATAAGGTAAAAAAAAACATTGATAATACTGAGAACGTAGAAGGTTAGGTTAGGTTAGGTTAGGTTAGGTTAGGTTAGGTTAGGTTAGGTAATCCCTCCTTCTTGACGTAAACAAACACAGTGGCTCCTCTCTCTCTCCTCCACCATAGAGTCACTGTGACACTCTAGCAGCGGAGGTAGAACGTCAATGTGCCGAGCTGATGGAGGCGGTGACGGAGGCAAGGACGAGGCTCTTGGCCCAGCTTGCAGCAGAACGGGAAGCCACTACTAAAATATACAGGTAGGTGCTCACTCACCCTTGTTGAAGGCTTGTTTGGGTATTCCTGTTTTCTGTGTGGCGCACGTCTGTGGTGGCTCAGGGCTGGAGTTTGGGTTCACCAAGTTCTATATTTGGTGAGGTGTTGCGTGAGTGGTGGTGGTGATGTTTGTTTTAGTGTGTGTGTGTGTGTGTGTGTGTGTGTGTGTGTGTGTGTTTCTGTACTTGTGTGTGTGTTTCTGTACGTTTGTGTTGTTTCTGTACGCGTATGTGTCTTTCTTTGGGTAGACTTCAGGAATCATTCTAGTTCTCAGATAAATACCAGGTAGATGAGGTGTACTCTACCTAGTACTGTACTCAGATTTATGACGTGTTCTCCTCGTCTTCCTCCTACAGGGACCAGGCCGCGGGGTGCACACGTCGCCTGCATCAGACCACAGCCCTCGTCCAGTTCTGTATCGAGGCTATCAAAGAGATCGACCCAGCGGCCTTCATGCAGGTAAGACCCTGGACTAATTCTGTGACCATGGACTATTTCTAAGACCCTGGACTAATTCTAAGACCCGAGGTTAATTCTGAGACCATTGACTAATTCTAAGACCCTGAACTAATTCTAAGACCCAGGACTAATTCCAAGACCCAGGATTAATGCTAAGACCCTGGACTAATTCTAAGACTCAGGACTAATTCTTAAAGTACATTAATAACTATAAGACCCAAGGCTATTTCTAAGGCTCTTGAATGATTCTATACCATATCTGAAAACTTCCCATCCACGAGAAGAAAAATCTAACTTACGAGCCTTTGAGAATCCGTACTCTTAAAGTCATCCAATAACGAGAAGGAGAATTTAAAGTGCGGTCCTTTGGGGAATCCGTATCTTAAATCTGCCTCGGATATTGTGAGAAAAATTGTATAGACTTGTGATGGGGATTAGGTGCCGGGTGTGTGGGGGGGGGGTGGGGGGGTGATGTTACGTGCTGCCTAACTCACGCAGACAGGGACCAGAGTGATTTTTTTCATGTAAGGTGGAGGCGGGACAGAGGGGTACTATACATGCGATGTATGATGGTTGTAGGGAAAGATTTCCTAGTGTCATGTATTTATATAATGTTTCCATGTCCTAAAATACGAGTATATATAATGTATAATCATATCAATCGACCTAATCAGTTCCTACCCCTGTCGACCTCCAGATGGGTCCACAACTGATCGGTCGAGTGAGTGACCTCGACCTCACCTGGGACAAGGAGCTGGCCTCATCGTCGACACGTCTCAGCCCGTACATCGACCTCGACGTGGAACACAAAACTGTCCTCAGAGCTCTCAACACCTTTAACTTTGTCCAGATGAAACGTGAGTGGACCTTCACTTAGCCTTGGGGAACTCCTTAAATGGTTGTAACATTCATATCTACAGTACGTCGCCTCTTAACAATAAAGACACTTTCTAATATCACCACTAGCAATAAACTGACTCATCCTAGTACCTTGTTTAATATCATATGGTCTACGTTCAACCATAAATTTATCAAAAGCAAACCCCGGACAACAAACAATTTATCAAACTATTATCATAATTAATCTGCCATCAGCAATTTCTTATTTCAGAATGAATTAAATCTTACAATGACAATATTCACAGACAAACACAGTGAACTAGTGATGTATAAGGAAAAATATATAGCTTTGTGATATAAACTAAGCGTTAAAACACACTCAAATATATATAGCATTTTATTGACGTGTTTTGGTCACCCCCCCCAACAGCTTGTCTTGACGGAGAGGAGCGGAGGCCAGCAGGTATTCAACGCCTCTTAACTATTATTACATGTTGCCACTTATTATTTTTGGCTTATTCAATATTTTTTCGTTCGAGTCCAGATAATGATTTTTTTTCTTAGTAATTTTTTTCGTTTGTTTATTTACTTATTTTCATTTTATTTATTTTTTCGTTTTTGCTGTTTTTGTTTATTATCCTTACAATACTCCTATAGTTATATAATTATTGATTATTTCGTAATTTATAATAGCATGTGTACGTCTATTTTGCATGGATAATTGTGCTAGTGTGCTATTTTGTTTTTTAATCTTAAAATCTAGATGTGCAAAAAACATCTATAAGTGAATTTTAAATATTTCCAATTTTATATATTTTACACTTGATATATAATACTTTTTATATACCCTACATACTGTTGTTTCTATATAATGGGTAACTAACAACAGGTGTATATTTCCTGTATATGTCCTACTGTATTCCTATATCACTTTTATAACAATTTAAGCTCTTCTTTTGGTATAGGGTTTATATAATTATTAACTTACTATCTTATATAATTCACAGCAGTGTTAAGTTTCTTCGCATATAATTACTATCCTTATTAAGTTACATCACAAATAATTACTATCATTATTAAGTTATATCACAAATAATTTCTACCATTATTAAATTTCCATCAAAACCACGACTCAAAAATATTCTTCTCCAAAGCTCAATTTCGCTGATTCATTCTTTTATCAGTACACTTGTTGTGAAATTAAGTTGTAGTTTTAACTTTACGAGTATATACACAATTTAAACCTCATTCCATTCACTATACTGACTACGACATATATGCAGTATACATTATATATCGTAATTATTCACTATACGCTGTTACACTATATCGATTCGTAATACCAGTTAGGGGTACTCTTGTAATATATTCACACTATACGCAATGGTATATTAATCACTATATTACATCACCACTGCTACTACACCATACCATCCCACTACACCACACCACCACCACACCATCCTTATTACATTACACTACATTCCCACACCACATAACCACCACCACTGCATTATCACACCACAATACTTCAACATATCACATACACCGCCACACTACACCACCATACCACCACACTGTCACCACCACCACACCATCCCACATTACATCAACATACCACCACATCACCACCGCACTACATCACCATACCACCACACCTGGCCACCTCCTCTCCACAGTACATACATATTTTACCCCCCATCCACACTCCTTAACACATTCACCGTGAAGAAGAGTCTGCGCGTCTCCCCAATAACCATCTTCCGCCTGGTGTGTGTGTGTGTGTGTGACCTGGTCCTAGCTTCCACACCATGTATCATTACACACCATATTAACGACCCCTCGCGCCGTGTTTTACTCCCACATTTATCACACATTATTACCCTCCGCGTTTACTGTGGTGTTTCTCATAGTTTCATTTAATTATGTTTACGATCGTCATTTGTTTTGTGCTGAGTCGCCAAGTGGTCTTATCGGTCTGACGGCTCATCAGGGGCAGAGCGGATATACCACCATGAAAACTCAGCCTTCGGTTTGCAAAGAGACAGTGTGGACGGCAGCACTGCACTCCACCACCTACCACTTCCCAGCTGTAAAGTACGGTGCCTATTCTGCAACTGGATCGACTCAGGGCGCCCCACCCATCTCAGTTAATAACCATTACCCATTAACGTTCCTTGGTATCAATATTCACATGACACAGTATAGGAATATCATCAATTTAGTCTTTATCTTCTTATCGCTTAAGAACTATCATCAGTATAACATAATTTTGCATCAATATATTTCATAAATGATTATCGACATCACTTGACATTGACTAAAACTTGAGGAGTAATTCAGCAGCTAAAACTTGAGGAGTAATTAAGCAGCTAAACTTGAGGAGTAATTAAGCAGCTAAAACTTGAGGAGTAATTAAGCAGCTAAAACTTGAGGAGTAATTAAGCAGCTAAACTTGAGGTGTCGCCAGGAAGTTAAAGCTTAAATGTGTACCCTTTCCTAATCACCGTGTGTACATCAAGTCATGTGTGCTACTTGATCATGACTGTGTACATAAAACCCTATGTATACCACTACAATACATAAAATCGTGTGTACTATTTCATCATGCCTGTGTACATAAAATCCTATGTCTCTCCTGTGTACATCAAATCATGTTTACCACTCCATCATCACCAGGTGTACATCAAATCATGTGCACCACTTCATCATCGCTGTGTGTACGGTAATGTGCACAACAACACCATCAATACGAGTGAATTACTTCCATCCAATCATCGTTACGCCACCCGGGCCAACCAGCTGATGGATCCGTCACTTTATTTTGATGTGTAGCTGTGAGAACGACAATCACTGGTGGCACAGCTGAACACGACAGCTGTGACCCCGGCTGGCACCCGTCCACCTGCTAGAAAACGACCCCGGATAGAAAACGGAACCTCACAGAAAACGAAATCTGGTAGAAATCAAAACCTGGTATCAAACAGGACTGCACAGAAAACGAAATCTGGTAGAAAACGAAACTTGGTAGAAAACGAAACTTGTAACAGCGACATCTGCCAGGATATGACAACTATAGAAATCACACCACACCTGATAGAAATTGAACAGATATAAGCAGGTGTTATTACGGAGCGAGTCAGAGAGAAGACAGCTAAACACCTGCTAACAACACCTGCGTTTGTATTTTTCTGGCTAAATAAACTGTTTCAATTCAATTCAATTCAAATGTAAACAAACTAAAGTCTTTATAGAGTGGGTCAGAAAACTTTATAACACCTGCTAACAACAAACAGATGTGATCTCCCAAACAAAACACAAAAAATCAAAACAAAACAGATGAACACGTGTACACAGCATCTGGAATCTACACCCCCAACACACACACACACACACACACACACACACACACACACACACACACACACACACATACAAAAGTTTGCTCGCTGGAGTGTCAGTGTATCAGATTTCCACACAAAGCAAATTGGCTCACAACATATGTAGAAAAGTTACATATAAAAATAAATATATATATAAAATGACTGGAGTTGATATATGAATGATGGATTTATTCTCTATATTAAACTTGTTTCTGTCTGTCAATACATTTTTGTTGACATAACCATTCAGTCGGTTTATTCATTTTTTTACGGATACACCATTCACTGTATCTATGTTATTTATTTAATATTCACACACCATTTATTCCATATTTCTATCTTTTTTACAATGTCCTTCATTCTACATTTCTATTTTTTTACATTATCCTTCATTCCACATTTCTATTTTTTTACATTATCCTTCATTCCACATTTCTAATTTTTTACATTATCCTTCATTCCACATTTCTAATTTTTTACATTATATTTCATTCCACATTTCTCTTTTTTACATTATCCTTCATTCCACATTTCTCTTTTTTACATTATCCTTTATCCCATATTTCTATTTTTTTTACATTATCCTTTATTCTATTTCTCAAATTTTACATATTTTTTTACGTACTTTACCTTAAACTCTTCCCAATTTTGTTCTATTCTTCTTTACGTAATATAAATAACTACTAGGTGGCGCCATGATATTGTTCCCTTGTATTTATTTATTTATTTTTCACCTGTGTTCTGTCAGTCAGTTGCTGTCAGTGTTGGATGGTTTTTGAGTGTGAGAGATTTTGAGTGTGAGAGATTTTGAGTGTGTGTGTGTGTGTGTGTGTGTGTGTGTGTGTGTATACTATATATATATGTGTGTATATAAGTATGTATGTGTGTATATAAACCCAATGTATTTAGGAGACTAATTCACCATATACAACACCTCTTTGTATACCATATCAAGAAAACTCCTCCTATAAAACACCTATATGACGCTGCCCCTATGTTTGTGTTCCTCTGTACAGCCCCGGGCACCCCTGAATTCCTAGCGGAGGAGTGTGTAGGTGAGAACAACAGCGTCACAGCTACCTGGACGCCTCACCCCACCTCTAGGGTAGCTGGGTACATACTGGAGATCGACGATGGTGATGGGGAGTTTAAGGTAAGACAAACAGACAGACAGACAGACAGACAATCCACAATTTCTCACAAAAATAATCTTACGTCAAAATCTTTCATCAAAATCTTACGTCAAAATCTTTCATCAAAATCTTACGTCAAAATCTTTCATCAAAATCTTACGTCAAAATCTTTCATCAAAATCTTACGTCAAAATCTTTCATCAAAATCTTACGTCAAAATCTTTCATCAAAATCTTACGTCAAAATCTTTCATCAAAATCTTACGTCAAAATCTTCCATCAAAATCTTACGTCAAAACCTTTCCTCATTACTATAAAGGAATATTTTCACGTGTAGAGAGAATTTAGATATTTGATATAAGTTGAAATCTATTGACTGATATTTTGAGTATGATTGGTAATGCAGTGTGAGGTTATGAGTATGATTAGTGAGGCTGTAAGTATGATTAGTGAGGCTGTAAGTATGATTAGTGAGGCTGTAAGTATGATTAGTGAGGCTGTAAGTAGGATTAAGGATGCAGCATGTGAAATTGTATAGATGAGAGAGAGAGAGAGAGAGAGTCGAAGTAAGGTGCCATACATCCGTGCACATGATCCATACAGGAGGTGCACCGCGGGCCGGAGACACTGTGCACGGTGGAAGGCCTTCACTTCAACACCGTCTACCACCTACGAGTGAGAGCCTACAACATTTCAGGAGTCTCACCGTTCTCTACCTCCGTCGCTATCAGGACCTCCGCCAGTGAGTATTACACCTTACGCAAACATACACTCAAGACACACTCAAATTCCTACAAAAACTCGTGCATGCAAACACACATTCATACACACTCAAGGGCCTACTACAGTTCACGCAAGCAAACACACTCTCAGACACACTCAAAGGCCTAATCCAGCTCTTGCACGCAAACACACATTGAGACACACTCACGCAAGGGCCTACTACAGCTCACGCAAGCAAACACACACTCAGGTACACTCAAATGCCTACTACAACCCCTGCACGCAAACACACACTCAGATACACTCAAGGGCTTACTATAACTCATGCAAGCAAACACACACTCAAATACACACAAAAGCCTACTATAGCTCTCGCACGCAAACAGCAGACATTCAGACACAATGAAAGGCCTATTAAAGCTCTTGCACGCAAACACACATTCACGCACACAGATACTCTAAACACACGCACACACTAACAATTACATAAGCAGGTACAGGTACTCACACGAACTCACACTTATAACATATACATACAAGTTAACACATGTAAGCACAAATTTACTCACACACACACACACACACACACACACACACACACAGAACAATACCTACAGTTGACAGCAAGCTTTAACATATTAAACTTTGTCATAACCGAAAGCTAAACTAAAACAATAACACTACAAATTCAGATCCATCAGTGAAATGTTTGATCCCCCCGACTGAGGCCAGAATCAATAGGCTTCATCAACTGTTTGTAAAGAACTTGAATATAAAGATTGACGGTGATATGATCAATAGAGATTAAGGTATTGTGCGGACACCATTTGTTTACAATACAGACGGGCGTGTGGACGGACTGACGGACGGTACCATGACTATATCCCTCTCTACAGCTACATATATTTCACAATAAATCATTATAATTCAACATTTCGCTACAATTAATCGGTATAATGTTTTGTTCGATATATATTAATGTAAATGCTATTGTTTACATGACGTCATTACCATAACATCACCCCCCCCCACCCCTTCCCCTCTAGCGGCGTGGTTTTCGCTGGACCACGCACTCTCGCACCCTGAGTGTCGCCTGGTGGGAGACGGGGCAGGTGTCACCTGTGAGAGCTACCAGCACCGTGTCGCCCTCGCCTCAGTCGGGTTCTCCAGAGGGCGCCACTACTGGCAGTTCACCGTCGACTCCTACGATGCCAACGCCGACGTGGTGTTCGGCGTGGCCAGAATAAATGTAGATAAGGAAGGAATGTTGGGTGAGTACTATCAGGTTCTTCTGTTACATGGTTCAATAAGTCAGTTCCCTAAATCACAACACAAGCGCTATGATTTATTACGACACTATCGCAGCCAAAAGGATCACAGATACAAAATGGTAGCGAGATTGATTGTGAGTTTCATCGAGAGAGAGAGAGAGAGAGAGAGAGAGAGAGAGAGAAAGCCTCCACAACACATAATTCATTTTCAGTCCCACTCCAGGAGATTAAACTCGTCGTATATTAGTTAAAATCATAGTTCTGGCTGCTGGTGAGAGAATTTCCAGATGAAGATTAATCTTTGTGGAGATTCAATCCATTACAAGGACAGATAATACTGCGAGAGAAGGTAAGTACAGACGCCCAGAGTGTGTTTATTATTTTCCCTTCTGTACCTGTACCTCCAGCTAAGGGCCTCCACCCTCCTGTACCTCCAGCTAAGGGCCTCCACCCTCCTGTACCTCCAGCTAAGAACCTCCACCCTCCTGTACCTCCAGCTAAGAACCTCCACCCCTCTTGCACCTCCATGTGACTGACTGCCCTTCCACCTTCAGGTAACGACGTTCACGGGTGGGCCATGTACATAGATCACCAGAGGTCGTGGTTCCTTCACGGTGCCGCCCACCATGGGAGGTGTGAGGGCGGGGTGGGCATAGGCTCTACCGTGGGCGTCCTCCTCGACCTCAACCACGGCACTCTGGCCTTCTACGTCAACGATGAACAACAGGTAATGTATCCTTCTATGAGGCCTACAGTCCTACGAGTCCTTCTACGAATCGGACTCAATATCATATATTTTCGTGTGGCTAAATATTATTATATCACCGCAGTAAATATATAACAATTTCATAGATAGATAAACTTGCCAAAAAGGATCACACTAAAAATAAAATTAAACTCAGTGATGAATGAGAACAATATAAACAACTCCCTGACTGATTCTCTTCTTCACCACCAGGGGGATGTTGCTTTCACTGATATGGATGGTCTCCTCTATCCAGCCGTCAGTGTCAACAGGAACGTGACAGTGACCCTCCACACCTCCCTCGACCCTCCGCACTCAGACTATGACAGCCAATCAGACACCTGAAGGAACTGTGTGGAGTTGGTGTCACCTCCACTCCGGCCACTGAGGCAAGATAGACAGATAATTGTTGGAACGTCGACACTGCCCCAAGTCACCCATGGGAGAACTTCTTTTTAATGAGCTGCGGCGGAAACTTTCATCAAATTCTGTTACTCAATCTCTTAAAAGTTTCAGTGAAAAAAATATCAACAACAGAGGACATTATGAATACTGATCTTTTTATTAAGTGAATAAAGCAGAACAAACAGCCCCTACCACCACCCACCATCCTACCACCTCGTGAGAACTCTGAAGAAGAAATATTACGCCACTAGAGCATAAGATTACGAAGCTGTGCACTAAGATCTTTGCTTACACAAATATTTTATTTCTCAAGTCATAAAAACTTTATTTATAATACGAAGAAGCGTACAGCAGGTCGACCTAACATGTTGTATAATTCAGGACATGAAGCTGCACCAGGCAAAGGTTTATATTTTCAGCTAGGAAGAAAAACAATCAACTACTAAATATCAAAAGATAAACTCTAAGTCATCCAGTTATAGTGTATAGTGAGGGTCCGTCTCCAGCTCACTAATCTTTGTGATACTTGTGAGATTCATCATGTAAATACTGTTGAGAAATACTGAGAAGAGGTGAAAGTTATCAAGATAGGACATATCAAACGTAACACAGATGATGCCTGCTCATCTACGAGGCTGAGGTCTCAGGTGAGAGAAGTGGACACCTCAGTTAAATGTCCCTCTGCAGGGTCCCAGGTGACAGCATCAAACGGACACCTCAGTTAAATGTCCCTCTGCAGGTTAATGTCCCAGGTGACAGCATCAAATGGACACCTAAGTTAAATGTCCCTTCAGCAGGTTAATGTAGCTGTGGTAGCGTAGCATCAAATGGCAACACACACACACATAGGTACCATCGTCTTTAATACAACTCCACTACCAAGTTAATTAATGTTAGTATAAAGCCTCAAGTATAGGGACAATCATCTTATCTGTCCAGGATCACAACAACTGCCAACACCACTCCATTGTTTACTATAATATGTGGACGCTTCTGAGTACGAGGTTAAGTGAACAGGTGAACAACACAAGGTTTCATTTCCTCCCTTTGGTAGACTTTACAGCTTCCAGATTTTTTTTCTGATGCATCGGTATCATGAACATAAAGAAGGGAACCTTTGTTGAAATGAACAATATCTGGTATAGAATTTCCAGTTAGTTTTTTTTAGTTAGAAAAAAAAACACTATATTTCCATCCATTTGATAAAATAAGTGAAAAAATGATGATTGTGGTGCCCATTATTAATTCAGTATACATTACACATTGTGTAATTTTTCGTGTAATGTATTAAGCAAAAATAAATGAGCTACAGCTGGTTGGTCTATGTATATTTGATACTGGAGGTTGCCTGAGAGAGCCCTGCATAATACATATACCTGTACTAAGTGCGCTAATATTATCACTCAATAATGAAATAAAACCACTTCAAAATTCCTTATAAAAATCTATACCATTTATCTAGAGATCATTTAATATTCCACAGGTGCTCCATATAACACAGGTGGCAGAAGCTACAGGTGTGTTAATCCTTAAAGAAAACACAACGAAACGCTTAAAATTGTCAATTCGTGTTCAAAATTTGTCTTTAATATTACAAAAAATTTCCAAAAATTCAAGTTTGATCATCGATAAGAAGACAACAAGACATTGTTTACCTCAGGTGTTTGGAAGACTGGTCGAATCCCATCAATGTGTGTGTGTGTGTGTGTGTGTGTGTGTGTGTGTGTGTGTGTGTGTGTGTGTGTGTGTGTGTGTGTGTGTGCGTCTCGGATACTAATACAGTACCACCTCTTGGTCCTAGAATCTATAGGCTTAGAACTACACTCCAGAACCCGTAATACATAACCCAACTCCTGATCTCGCAGCCCCAAGAACTGGTCCTCAGAATCTTAAAAAACGACTCAACGCTGAGCATTTAATTCCCAGGACGACCTCCCACACAAAGATTATTTCCCTAATGTTTCTTCGGTGAAATAAAAACTCTAGCTGTCTTAATAATGTCCACGTGGAATAAATAAAACTCCTAAACAATATAACGACTGAATGGTTTAAACAAGTGTATTTCTCAGTGTCGGCTGTCTCACGTAGTATCATGGGTGAGATTCAAAAAAAGGTGAATTTTGTTTATATATATAAGAGTCAAGAACAAAAAACTAATGATAAAGAAATTATTAAATTGCTCCAATATAAGAAGTATATATATATTTTTTACACGCTAAAATAATTATCAATATCATTTATTTTATTACACTAGGAATTTTCCAGCTCATTATTACAACAATTGGTCAATGTTGCATAATTCTGCACTGATGGTCATGTTGATCGCGTTTATATTACAGTTGTAAGCCAAGATCCTCAAATATTCATAATTTTCTTTGTTTTTGATGTTATTTGTATGTGTGAGAACTTCTTTTTTTGTTTCTCATCACTTCAGCAACAACACAGAGAAGGTGACAGTTTTTGTTACTCAGAGTCTGGTGTAACTGAAGGTTTTCTCATAGATCCAATTAACGTCTTGAAGATTAACGAATATTTGAGTATCCAGGCAGTAGAGTTTTTGCAGTGGGAATGTTATGTTTCTTTTTTTTTGTAGTATTAGTGCAGTGATTACAGGTGAACGCAGGCTCCACTTGTAATAGACCCCAACCTAACCTAACCTAACCTAAAACTAATCTAAATTATCATTATCTAGTTTAACCTAACCTAACTTAACCTACCCTACCCAACCTTAACATAACTTTACATACTGTACCTTACCCAAACCTAATTTATCCTAACTTAACCTTATAATAAGGTTAGGTTAGGTTAGGTTAGGGCCTATTTCTACCTGGGGCCTATTTAACCAGCGATCATTGTAGAGGGCGTCAGAGCTGCCCTTATAGTCAGTCACCTAAACTATGTATAGTTTATGTTACTCCTTGTAGTGTTAAGGACATCATTCTCCTAAGCTTCTTCATTACACTGTAAATAACATTACACGTAAGGTAACTTCGGTTCTCTTAAATATATATCTTTTATTCTCTCTCTCTTCACCTCCGACTTACAATCTTCTTTTGTTTTTATATGTATATTATTTAATGACAATAAAATTATAGCAGGGTTATATACGAGAGAGTTCAAATTAAAGCAAGGTTATATAAGAGACAGCAAAATTAAAGCAGGGTTATATACGAGAGAGTATAAATATGTACGTCATTTTCTTTTATATACTTTTTCTACTTTTATATATGTATTTATATGTCATTTTCTGTTATTCATTATTTCGTTATTCCTATTCCAATCTATAATGTCACAAGCCAAAGATGTTACGACAAGTTTCAACTAGAAATTAATGGAGATAGAAAGTCCCTCACACATATTAGTTAAAGCTCAGTAATACATGACATTTATCGTATATGTTCTTTTGTTTTGATAATATGTATATACTGTATCTTGAAACACCTTCTTCTTCTTCTCCTTCTTCTTCTTTTTGCATGTCTTGTCTTTTATCTCTCTTCTCACATATTTTCCATTTTCGTTTTCCTTTCATCATCTTCTTTCATATTTTGTTTTTTTATTCCTTCTCTCCTTTTTCTTGTTTTTCCTTTTTACTTTCCGTTACCCTTTTATCTTATTCTCCTTCCTCTTTCTTCTTCTTTGCTCAAGTGTCCTCTTTTATATTCTTTGTCTCTTTTCTTTGTTTGTCTCTTCTTTTTATCATATTTTCCCTCTTCCTTCTTTTTATTCTTCTTAGATGTACTGGTCTCTTCACATAACTGTACAATATGGTGCTTAAATCAACAGCTCATCTCATCTTTGAAGAAAAAAGCTTTATTAATTAAATAAGTTTCAAATTATCATTATATGGGTTTGACCAAAGTTCTTTCCAGGTACTTAGTCAAAATTTAATCTTTCAGGAATCGAAGTCATTTCTAAATCATTCAATGCCGATTTAACGAGAATTTAATCGGATAATTTGAAGAACGATCCGATTTAATAAGCATTTAATCGGATACGGTGAAGAAAGATACGATTTAATAAGCATTTAATCGGCTAAGGTGAAGAAAGATACGATTTAATAAGCATTTAATCGGCTAAGTTTAAAAATTATTCGATTAACAATTATTTGATGAGCTAAGTTGTAAGAGAAAGTATTTGATCTTATTCTTTTTCTTCGTTTTTTTTTCTTTTCTTTTTCTTGTTCTTCTGTCACTTCATTTCCACCCATTCTCTCTCACTCCCATCTCTGTGCTATAAGTGTGTTTCATTTCCAGACCCACAACACAACCCTGATATAATATACTGAGCTCTGCCGATCAAAACACTAAACATAGGTGATCAAACCCCCCCCCTTTTTTTCCCATCCTCCCAAACCCTCACACCCGGAAAATAGATTCTATATGGAGAAATAAAAAAACAATTAATGTATGATACTGTATTTATGTGTAAATGTATATGTACTGATAGAGTTAAGGACACTCAGTATGGATAATCTAGTCTTTGTAACTGTCTTTGTAAATGTTATTAACTAATTCTTAAATTAAATCCTACTTTTCTTATACTGGGTGTTTTATTTTAGTTTCCCCCCCAAAAGAAAATTTGGTTATGTACCGAATTACTTTCCTTTATATAAATTAAATAAAACGGAATATAAGGTAGATGAAAATAGACTCAACCCCAGCTTGTTCAGTTTTGGGTCAGTGTTCAGGACTCTTGCTGTGTACTCTTATTCAAGATGAGAGGAAAGAGGCCCATCAAGTTCAAGTGGAAGCAGTGGTGCTAAAAGATCCCAGAAAGGAATTACACACAACCTCACCTCACTACCTCACACAGCACTCAACATCATTTGTTATGAGTTAAATTCAAGTGTTGTGTGCAATTTTATCATGCTACATCATGAAGCAATCAATGTACAGGGGTATGTGTTTAAAAACTTTTATTTTCATTTATGTGTGTGCTTGTATTACATATTTTTGCTGAAAATATTTCCTTGGGAATGCATCTCCAATTATATAATGGGAGTCAATGGGAAAATTGATCCAGCATTACGGAAATCCTCAATATGGTCCAGCGTTAAGGAAATCCGGTTAACATTTCTTCCGTAACCCGGGGGATGCCTGTAGTTGGAACATTTGGGAAAAGTCTTCCAATATCCATCGTCAGATTATTAAATAGTAACCCGAACCAAATCAGGTATGTTTGGTTTTAAAAAATGGATTAAGGCTCGGAGGGCGCTTTGAGGATACTCTGTACTAGTAACCCAAATGTTTAAAAAAATGGCCGAGTTACAATATGAAATAAAACCCAAGATAATACATTCGATTTTGTTGGAGGAAGGACGTGAAGAATTGGAAATAGACGAGGAATCAAACGAAACCAAATGAATACTGTAATATTAAAGAATGGAGGTAAACATACAGGAAGAAAAAAAGTTACCAGATTAAAATTGAATGAATCACAAAAAGAAAAAAAACATTGAATTGAAGAAAAAATGGTCAGGGAAATAGAACTTCATAAAAAAAATCACAAAGAAATAAATAAAGAAATTAAAATAGATTAAAGAAGGATGTCTAAAAAAGAAAGGAAGAGAAATAGATGATGACGATAAGAGACAGAACCACAAGGAAATGTACAAAAATAAGAAATAAGTACAAAAACTAAATATAATAAGAAATAAATATAATTAATGAGTTATATTTGGTTTGTGAATCTTAAAATATATACCAACTTTAAATGACCACATGACTTAAATAAATAACCACGTAAAAGGTAAAACTGTGATTAGATTAGGTGAAAGAGAGTGTATAGGAGACGACAGAGAGAAACAGATAGACAAGAAGAGACAAACAAACAAAGAAAAGAGAATACAAGATAAAAAAGAGAAAGAAAAACAAAAGGACAATGAGACCAACAGAGAGAAAAAACAGAAAAATTACGAAAAGAAAGAAACTGACAGAAATCACTAAAGTTTGACATTAGTCGCGCATACAGACAAGGGAAGGTTGATCACGCCCCTAGGGTATAAAAACACAGGCATCAAGGGAGGGCGGTGGAAAGGGAACGTCCGGATTATGTAAATGTCTCAGTTCACCCCCGGAATAAAACACCAGGAAGAAAACGGTAAATTAAACAAACACACACACACACACACACACACACACACACACACACACACACACACACACCCATAGAACCTCTTTATCCGTAATAGTTCGTAGTCGTTATAAAAGGTAGTAGTTTCAGTAAATTTTTGGTCTTGTATTGGATGTGTTTCGGAATGTAATTAGTGACTCTGATATTCATTAATGAGGTCAGATATTATGCTATGATGTCAAGCTACAGGTACGAGGATAATTACAGATACAACTAGTACAACGCCAGGTACAAACACAAGTACAGATACATAGTTACATAAATTTCACGACACAGAAACACTACACAATGATTAAGGTTCAGAGGCTTCACAATAATAAGAGCCCGGGGGTTGATAAGTGTCTACATTACACACACAAGAGCCAGGAGGATGGTACAGTATATTATTATCACCTTATACACCCGGAGAACAAAAGAACAAGTTCATTTTCCTCCCACGAGAAGTTTTGGTATTATAAATAGAGCAATTATTACTTGAGAATATCCCCAGCTGTTTTAAATTATATTATATAGGAATAATCCCTTTATTTTCCTATACAGTATCTCTCTTAAAATCAATCCTAACCAAGAATATTTTCCAATTATTTTTTTTTTGGCTTTTAAATCGTTTATTAATATTTTTTTTTCAGTTAAACTTTTATTATTTCAATCATTAGTGAATAAACACTTGTTACTATTAACCCCCGTCTAACAGACAGTAATACTTATATAAATATGGGCTACATACATTATCTTTATATAATTGATACACCCACAGTAATTAAACTATGAACGAGTGATGTATGTTAATTAATCTTCTTGCCTATCAGATGACCTCTAATATCTGACCTCTAGCCTTCTGCCCTGGTAAGGACCCGGCCCCTGGCACTGCCTTGGTCCTACAGTCAGTTCTCTCCAGTCTCCCCCCCCCTCCCACGTCTCACGTGTGCTTAACGAAGCTCGCTACACCTCAGCTTCATCCTTTATTAACGCCCACAGCTCATAGCGTTAATTAGGGTGATATCATTACTATTTGTGCACTAGGAAAGACCATTCGGGTTTAAAAACTTAACCCACAAACATTTATTTATGATACTTCCATGGAAACTTGAAGACTGACTCTACCGGATCTTCATCAGTGATTGCAACAGGTAAACGGAAGCTATCACACAACATTAACATTAAGAACAATTACATTAACACGATTCATCAATTTGAGAATGATAAGAGAATCAGATAGAAACGTCAAAAAATATAATAAAATTAATATGCATGTAAGAATAATTGTACCTTTTTATCAATTCACTTTCTGGAATATTTTATTTGTCGTTTTATAAAACATAATCAGGCTCAGGTGAATCCAACCAATCGTGCTGGACCAATCCCTTATACCTAATCCACACCTACTTTCTTATCTCCCTCCTCAATCCACAATCCATCCTATTGGGTTAGATCATTCCCTATTCTAATCCCTAATCCACTTTATTGTGTTACATCATTCCCTAACCCAATCCATATACCATCCATGTTGTGTCATTTCCCAACCCAATCCCTAATCCACCCTACTGTCACTTCACTCCCCAATCCATCCATGTTGTGTCATTTCCCAACCCAATCCCTAATCCACCCTACTGTCACTTCACTCCCCAATCCATAATCCATCCATGTTACGTCACTGCAGACAGGTGAGAAATCGTTCGTCCAATATTATCTACACTGTGAGTATAGTGTAGACTGAGGGTGTACGCCAGGCGCTAGTGTTCGCCCATGTTGACGCTTGTTTTCACGGTAAAGGCACTGACGGGGTAAATCTATTCTCTGGAGACCTTACTGTTGTTTATCTCTCTCTCTCTCTCTCTCTTTCTCTCTCTCTTGTTCTCTTTCTCCCCTCTCACTTATCAACCATTATTTTCATTCTTCTTTCATCTCCTCTTCAGTATCGAATTTAACCTCATTTTTTGTTACCTTCAGTAGATAAGAAAACGGAAGGTGAATAAAGGAGGTGAATGGTTGATGGAAGGGAGAGAGAAGGTAAAGCGAGAAAGGAAGAAGTGAGAGAGGAGAGAGAGAGGGAGGAAGAGGTGAGTGAGTGATGGTAAAGTCTAAAAAGAGATTTGAGGGAGATGGAAGAGAGGGAGAGAGAAAGAGGGTGACAATGGGAGAGGGAAAGAATGAGTGAGAGAGGGAGAGAATAACAGTGAGAGAGGGGAGAGAGGGTGAGGTTGATAGTGAGAGAGGGGAGAGAGAGAAAAGGAGAGAGAGGAAGAAAATGAGAGAGAGAGAGGGGAGAGAGGGAAAAGGAGAGGGGTTGAGGGCGAGAGAGGGAACAGATAATACCACTCCTGCCTATAAAAGGATGAAATACTCAGAGATGAATAAATATTAGTCAGTCACAAGGTAGCGAGTCACAGGTGTATGAAAACAAGGATGAGGGGAGCCCGTTTAACTCTCATCCACACTCATCCATGTCCTACTCACCCGCGTTCATACTTATTCATTCCCTCGGTCAAATCCTCATCTAATTATTATATCTACATCTCCATCCACTTTCATATCATCCATATCCTCATTCTGTCTAATCCACACTCATCCACATCTATAGTTTCACCCTCATCCTCTTAAGCATCCACACCCTCGTATTTATCCTTAACCTTACCTACATCCTCATCCTTATATACCGACACATGTGCACATATAAGGATCCATGAGTACAATACCAAAACCCACACATTGACATTAACATTTATTACGAATTACACATAGATAAAACTACGTACACCTCTTCACGTATACAGGTCCCCACACAGATCAGATTTCCATTTGTCATGACGTTTCCCTGACCAGATCACTTAAAAGACTTCTATCTGAGTTTTATAATGGAGCCAAAACTCTCACGTCTAAATGTACTTCAACAGTTTACAGCAACAGTAATACACTTGGGTTTTCTCTCCCCTAATCGCTTCAGTTTGGTGATGACACTTAGGGATTTTTTCTGGCTGACGTTTGATGTTTTTTTTTTTATCGAGCTGAGAGCAACGAGTCCTGGGAGTGACGGGGGTAATGTACGGAGGTGTATCACTGTTATCTGATCTACCTGATGACTGTATGGTTCGTGACATCAGGTAGACTAATTGTTAAAAGTCTGTAGAAATTCCTAGAGAAAATCTGATCGTGCAGCGTAAATGTAGTGTAAATTCCTCGGGTAAATATTCCTGACGGTACTACATTATGTATTATATAGGTTGGAACTGAAACATACGGTAATTAAGTAACTAGGAATAGTGTTACCAAATTCCACCACCCAAAACGATAACACTCTGAAGTTCTCACCCTCTCACACATAATAACCAAAATTCACTGAGAGATTGGTAACAGTGATCCACTTAATAGAAGTCTTGGAACAGCTTTATCTTGATATTTTGATGGA